TGTGTGTGTGTGTGTGTGCGCAACTGTGAGAGACAGAGAGACAGAAATACAACCTTTAACCTTTGCAGGCAAATGTCATGGTGTTTGGAGAGGCGGTCAGGGACAGAACGCGAGCGGGTCGGATATAGAATAGATCTCTGAATGGGCTTTTAAGTGTGGTGCAGATTCACAAATCTACCTCTATCTCCGCCTGTATGTAGTGAGAATGTGCTCCTTGAGTGGAACACACAAATTTAACTCAGCGTGTGTGTTTACTGTGTTCATGTGGTAGTACCTTACACCCACTGGAGTTCATCTTGTCAATGGTTCTCTTCAGCGCAGGGTTGGTGGGCTCGATCAGCTCCACCTGAGTGCGCACGTTGCTTTCCACGTAAGGGCCGACCAGGAAATAGTTCTCCCCCCATTCCTCTGAGGTCAGACGGGCTTTGGTCTGGATGACGGTGTAGATGCCTCCAACTTCACATGCGCAGCAAACATGTCACACGTATGCATACAGAGTCGAGACAAAGATATAATGTGATATAATGTGATATATACATGAATAGGACACATTACAATTATAGGTCTCTCATAAAAATAGATTTTACATGAGAGACTCAACCTGTAGATACATCTGAACTATTTCAAAAAATTACACACGCGAACACAAATGCACACACACATCAAACACTTGCCTTTGTTAGCAACCTCCCAGGCGATTTCAAAAAGAACAGCATCCTCCAAATCAAACTCCTCGTCCCACTCCTCCAGTCCTGAGAGGGACGTGACAGATAGGCTGCGAGCCAGCGGCATGCTGGGTAAAAACAAAACGCACTCTTGAGACAGGAGCATCCCACAACCATATATAGACAGTACATGTTCCCAGATGATGTTTGATTCCTTTTTCACTCATAAAACACCCACCTAAAATCTCCAAAGGTGCGAGCAATTCACAGTTTTCCATGAATTATAATTCATCCATATATCATCAACCTTAAGATAAGTTATATATAATATTTACCACTGGAAAAGTGAGTTTAAACTACTTGCAAATAACAACAGTACTTATTTATAGTATGCTATTTAAAAAAAAATGCAAATTGCCCTGCAAGAAAGTGACAGTTTAAAAAACTATTTCCCAACCACATTTCCCCTCACACCTACAAAACCAGTACATCATCAATGACTCAGTTCTCTAACATATTACATTATACTACTGTGATGCAAACACAGCATTTCTCAATCTCATTTCTTCTACAGTTGGAATAATTCTCAAACTAAATTTAAATAATAAACCACATGATGGAGGAGCAGTACAGACTCCACACTAAAACCCTGCGGAGCTGGTTTGGGATGAACTGGACAGAAGGTGACCGCAAAGCACAAATGTTACACATTCATGGGAACAAAATGTCTGATTTTCATTATAGAATCTAGAAGCGCACATGCGGCCAACAAGGCTACAGCCCAATCTCCACATTTTGAATAAATGATTTGCCTGTTTTTCTGGATCTGCTTTAAAATTGAATGGGTTCTTCCGAAGATGATGCCCGAACCCTCCACAAAATTCCATTGAAATTAGTTTGATAGCTTTTGCAATATACTGCTAACAAACAAAAAAGTAAAACACTGATGAAAACTTTACCTTCTAGGCTGAGATAAAAAAAAAAACTCATGTGTTTGGTGGTAGAACAAGTAAAAAATATAGATTATTTTAGGATTTAAAGGTACAGTCTGTAGAATTTTGTGACATCGAGTGTTAAAATAGCATGTTGCAGCTGCACTTGTCCTTCCAAACTTCAGTTGTCATAAAAACTCAAAAGGTGTTCAGTTTGTCCAGTCTGGACTACTGTAAAAAACATGGCGGCCCTCCGTAGTAAATATAAAGTATTTAAATATAAAGAGCCTTTTCTGGGGTAAAGAAAACTACAATTCTTACAATTTAGATGAAACAAACTAGTCAAAACATCATGAGGATTATTCTTCATTAAATTTCTGCCAATAGTTCCCTTTCACCTCAATCTTACACACTGGACCTTTAATATTCCACAATTCATTTTAAATTTTAATAATTTGTTTAATCAGGTCAATTTCAGAAACAGTGAGACATTAGATTATATAAATTTGGTCACAACTGGAGACATTGTGTTGGCTGCTGTCAAAGAAAACTCCATTATATGTCCAGTACATGTGCATGTCTCAATTATTTGCCGTTTGCAATCTGCGAGGGTCAAAGGGCTTCTTCCGACTGACCTCCCATGCAACCATATAACACTCACATGTCCCACATCCCATAAAACATGAGTTTTTATCTATAAAATCTCCAAATCTTTTCTGTGAGAGTAAAATTTTCATCTTACATTACTGCACCAGGCGTCCACTGTTAGAAGACTGCAACAGAAGCTTCATAATCGGCCCATCGGCAGTGGAGACATTAGAAAGCACAAGAAAGGAGTCATTCCTTTTAACTCAGGAACAACGCCTCACAAAATGCACAATGATTGGCTTCCAAACTGGTGATGTCAGAAGATCCTGCTGATACCTGCTCGTAAATGACTGAACCAGAAATGGTTCCCCTTGGTTCACTGAATGACTCAGTTCCTATTTCAACATTTCTGATTTAGTCAGAGCCAGAAAAGCTAAAACCACAGATAAGAGCTTTGACCAGGTATAAAAACGATCCGGCCTTTTACTCACTGATGTGTACAAATATGTCACAATCCCATAGTTGTGAAAAACCACAACAGAGAGAACAAATTGGGCAACACGCTGACACGCTGACAGAGGGAATGTGTTTCTACCTGTACAACAATCCTATTCACAACTTTGTGCACGACTCAGTAGAAATTTTATCTGTGTATACTCTGAAATCTCGAAGTCCAAAGTGGCCGTGTTGAGCTGCTACTGATAACAAACACATTTATAGACATTCAGTCCATCACTACCCAAATCTGATACAAGAAAAGCAGAACCACTGACACGTCAGATTGTTTTAAACTGAATTCAAACATCTCTCTCTTTCTCCATCACTGGAAAATCTTCACTTTATGGACAAGGAAATATAAATATTCTTAATTTTTCAATTAAGATTAAGTGCATCTGTTTCCCACTTCACTGAAGAACTTTCTCTCAGAGGACGTGCTCTGGAGGTTTCAAAGTTTCCACTTCTCTTTTGCACCATGACTGGCCTCCAAAATCCAATGTGAGAAATACCCTGCTCCACCATGCACGTCTTCAAGTCAAAGAAACTTCCCCTTCCTGTATATAAACGACAGTGTCAAACTTTACAGAGAAGCTCGAACATCCAACTGAGGAAACACCAAACATATTTCATATCCAATAATAAGTAAATACTAAAATGCAGGAAGTGAACTACAGGTCATGTCTTCATTCCCTCAGATTCAGTGTGGGGACCATGTACGTGCAGACACAATAACCACTTTGTGCACCATTACATTTAGATGTAGTGTGCTGTCCAGTGGGCCCACAGGTCTGAACCCCTATCCCAAGCTCTGGAGGAGGCGCTGCTCGTCCCCCCCGGGGCAGCAGCTTCCTGCCCAGTGTCATAACATCACCAGCTGACCTCTGGGCTGGACGTGCACGCTGCTTTCACACGCATCCTCCGCGTTTTGGGGCGAACGTGACATCGGGCACCTACTGCAGCGGCGGAAACGCGCAGAGGACACAGAGTCCTGATGCGCGTCCGTCGAGGAAGAAGCGTGCCCCGGTCAGTGTGGAAGACAGAAACACAGACAGAGCACTCACCCTCCGGTTTGTCCGAAACTTCAACAAGATGAACTAAACATAAGCAGCTGTTGCAGTCATTCCCCCGAAGAAGAAAGAGGAGACGTGACAACACAGTGGAGGGGAAAGGGGGCGGCGGCCTCGGTTAAATGCCAGCAGCTCACATTGGTTGTGGTGCGTTCACTGTCATGAAGGGCCCAGCTCCGCCCACTGCCCGCGATGCACGAAGATGATTGGTGCAAGGTCTCCGCTGTCATGTTATTGACGAGCTCCACTCTCATTGGCCCCGCTCTCCTCTTTTGGCCCCGCCCCCGCGCGCAACATGACGCGAACTGGGTGTTTTCCTCAGAGCCGGGACGCCATTGGCTGAGCGGCGGTGAAAGGGGGCGGGGCGGTGGTTGTTGAATTAATTGTTTCGTCCATTCAAAACGGGGCCAACTTTTTTCTTCCTGTTCCTGTGAGGATGTTTGGAAGCTCATTGCTGCCAGATAGAAAAACTTAAAACGAGATGAATGCTGGGTCGAGGGAGTAAATTGCAATTATATGATAGTACGTCGCAACACTGTTAATAAGCTTTATTGTCAATTTCTTCACATATACCAGACATACAAAGGAATCGAAATAGCGTTCCTAACTATCCCACTGTGAAGACAAGACAAGACATTTCCTAACAAAAGTAACAGTAAAGTGCACAGGCACAACAAATGAAGACAGACCTACCCTAACAAAAGTAGACAATAAATAAAAATGAGTCAAAGTTACGATATGAGAAGTCTAAACTACCAGTTAAAAAGTCCAAATGATTCAATTGAACGTCAAAATTATGAAATATGAATTCACAAAATTTTAAGATAGTAAGTCAAAGTTACAAAATAAAAAGTCAAAATTCCGACATTAAAATTCAAAATTGTGAGATTGTAAATCATTATTATGAGATTAAAGTCGAAATGATGAAACAGTCGATTCAAGTTACAATTTTGAGACAGTAAGTTGCAAAGTATAAGACAATAAGACATGATTATATTACTGAATAGCTAAAATTATGTGAATAGAAATTATGAGATATTAAGTCATAATTATGAGACACTAAGTCGAAATCTTTAAATAATAAATTATTATTGAGAAACTAACTGATGCTATTGAGATAATGAGTCATTATTTTGTGTCACTATTTGTAACTCGAACTCATAATTTTGAGAAACCATGTCACTGTTTGGAGTTGGTGAGTAAATTTTTTACAAAGATTCTCATTATAATTACTTTTAGGATTTTTTTTTATAACAAAGTGGCATAAATGAGCTTCCATACAGGGGGAGGAGAAAGAGATATTTATAATGTCCTCTAAGGGTCACTAAGAGCATAGTTTGGAGAATACAGCCTGACTTAAGACACCCAACCCCTCTTCATATCTCTGTGATCTCTGTCCTTTTGTGACCTTATAGCTATTTTCAACTGGCTGCTATCAGGGCAAACCCCACCACCACCCACCCGTGGTCTGATCACAAGGGCTAAACCATCCAGGTTTATATTAGTAGAGCTGCTGAGAATAAGTGAGCGGTCCGCCAGTCACAGTGTCACTGCCAACGGCCCCTGAATTCCAATGACAGACTACTCCATTGGGCAAAACGGGCACGTGCCCCGGAACCTGCAGCCAATGGAGGCCCTTGACTTTAATCTGTGATTTTTGAATTGTTTGAATATTTTGTAAATGAGCAGATAAAGTCAGGTGAAGATATTGTTTATCTTGCATTGAGAATATATTTGACGCTTCCTGTTCTGTTAACATGTCAAAATAATTGCTGTAGTTTGAAATAAGCTTGTTGTTGTAGGTGACACTAAGGCACACGCAGTGCATGTGTACTATTTGTGTGTAAGGGCAGGGGCATGTGATGTGTTTGTGTCCAGGAGTGGTCATGATAACCCTGATGATGACAGACTGATAGTACATTACTTAATCTTCCTATAAATCTATTTGTCATTCTATCTATCAATCTACCTACACCTACCTGTCTGTCTATCTATCTATCGATCTGTCAATCCATCCATCCATCTATCTATCTATCTATCTATCTATCTATCTATCTATCTATCTATCTATCTATCTATCTATCCATCCATCCATCCATCCATCTATCTATCTATCTATCTATCTATCTATCAATCTACCTACACCTACCTGTCTATCTATCTATCTATCTATCTATCTATCTATCTACCTACACCTACCTGACTGTCTATCTATCTATCTGTCTATCTATCCATCCATCTATCCATCTATCTATCTATCTATCTATCTATCTATCTATCTATCTATCCATCCATCCATCCATCCATCCATCTATCGATCTTGTATGATATTATATCATTATACTTCATTATTTATTTAAGTGACATACATTTTTAATTCAATTCAAACATCTTTCTCTCTGAAGACTTTTCCCTCCCTCGCTGTTGCACACGCTGTGACGTCATTTTGCCGGGAACACACGGTCCTCTCAATGTTGAAGGTTTAGGCAAACCCCGCGCTCCCCTTCCTCCTCCTGGCAACAGCGCTTCCGCCTCGTCCGTGACGTCACTGTCCGATCCTTCGCCACCAGACAGGAAACTTCCCGCGCTCTCCCCCCGGTGAAAGGTCACAAATTAAAGTCGAGTGGCGGGAGCTGTTGTCAGGAAGCGACGGTCGGACCCTGTTGTTTATATCGTGGAGACAAACAGGTTAGTGTGACGGTTTGTTACGATGGAGCTCAGAGACTGTTGTGTGTTTAACACTCGTGTTTGCTAGCTCGCTGCTTTAGCTCCACACACAAGGAGGGAAACACCGAGGTTAGCATCATTTCTAACAGAGGAAATCCAACCAACTCCAGTCACACGCTACCAGCGTTAGCTATTAATGCACTGGGCTGATATAACACAACCGTAGCTAAAGTACGTGACTCAGTTGTGATGCTAACGAGTGTGTGTGGAACTAGTTTCATCCCCTGATGGACGTAGACTGTTTATTAAATGCTAATGGACTAAACTTTGTGCAGAATAGGGAGGTGTCTCCTTCGCTGGGGCATGACACCCAGTGTAATACATTTCTCCAACAATGGAGGCAGTTCACAAATATATTGAAGTTAGGCAAAACAATCAATAAGATACTTCTTTCAGGGAGATTATGGCAACCTGCAAATAAAGCTAAAATGACAACCAACTTTGCTTTACATACAGTTAAAATATATAATATTTGTGTGTTTATATTCCTTATAGTGACAGAATACATTTGTAACATGATGCATGTTCTTAGAAGCAATGATGAATAACACATTTATAAATGGCACTTGGAAGGTAAAAGGTGAAATTGTACAAATGATACTACATATATTTGATACATTAAATCATACATTGGATTATTGCTTTGCTACCATCACTGCACTTCTATTTCATTTATTTCTATCTAATCATCTTTTCTAACGTGTCTTCTGCTCTCCAAGTTTGTTGAAGGTCATGGATTTTAAAAGACGCAATGGTGGCCCCTTAAAGGGAAGTGCATCTCAGGCCAAACGGGGTAAAACAGCCGGCGAGTGGGAGGACAGTCCGTCGCAGTTTGAAGAGGAACTGTCCATGTTCGATGATGCAGACATGGATGCAGAGGCGATGGAGGGACAGGCAGGTCATGACGTTATTCCCGTAGGTGAGTGTTGCACAGGAAATCAAAACAGACGTAGGTGGAATGATTAAAATGATTTTCTTGTACAAATGCCAATAACGTACACGTAAGTTTTACCATCTCTGTAACTCACATAGCACCACTCATATGTTAGGTCTATATTTCACAAACTGATGCTTAGAAATGTCTTAAATTCTTTCTTAAAGATCATAGCCTGATTTTTTTTAAGGTAAGTAAACTGTTTGGTAGCTCTTACGAATCAGTCTGGATGAATAGTTTAATTATTACTAAGTAAGTCATATGCTTTGCATTTTAAATAATGTAACTGCGTACCAATAACTAGTAAACAATCGTCCCAGGAAAATACTCTTCTTGTGTTGATTCAGTTTTGATATCGCTCTCAGTATTTCCTTGTACTAATCGGCATAATAAATATAACATCTTTCTTCTGTTTCTGTTTCCTTGTTTTGTCAGGTGACCTCTTCTCAGCAAACCTTAACCCTCGCTGGCAGCGGCCTCATGCCCCTACACTGGACCCGTCATCTGATAATTTTGTGTTTCAGCAGATTGATCTAGACTATTATTTAGGTAATTATCAAAGAGGATTCGTGTAGAAGTCAGACTCAAGATAATATAGACTGAATTCTTTGATATATTTACTTTGGTTAATTACAAATATAATTTAAATAAATAGATCACAGTTATTCTGGAGTTATATTAGCTTATTTGTGTGTTGAGCACATCTGCCTGCTCCATTGGCACATGTGAGAAAAGATGGTTTCAAAGTTGATTTCCTCTTTTCTTTTATACAGGGGCCGCAGTGGCTGGCATGCCTGGTCAGTCACAGGGAACAGTCCCCATCATTCGCATGTTTGGGGTGACAGACAGCGGCAACAGTGTTTGTTGCCACATTCACGGATTTGCGCCTTACTTCTATGTTCCTGCACCAAGTGGTGAGTAATTATAATTTTGTTAATGTAAAGTTGAGTTTAAACACTTTGTACATTGCATAAATGTTACATATGCACATTTCTGTCTTCTAAACTGTCACTTTTCTAAATTATTTCACTCTTTGAGGAGGAAAAGTCATGTATTTCCTATTCATCTCACAATTTTTCTCCCTCTTTCTGCTTCCTTTGAAAAGGGTTTACGTCTGATAACTTGGGTGATTTCAAAAGAGAACTGAACTCTGCTGTGCTGAAGGACATGCGCTCCAATAAGGACAACATCTCCATCACAGTGTTGGCTGTGGACATCACCCAAAAAGAGAGTGAGGACAAGTGATTACAAAATGCTTACAAGAAATTGTTGTTATAAGATAAGAGAGGGTGCTGATCCTAGTTACAAAAAACAATTACTGAACAAATATGAATCAGTGTTATTTTAATACACTAATGAAAAACTGTGATTTCATTTACTTTTTTGCATCTAAGATTCTCTTTTCCTTTTTCCTAAAGGCATGTATGGTTACCATGGACAACGCAGTCTCAGTTACTTACGGATAACCATGGCAATGCCTCGTCTCATTGCCCCAGCAAAGAGACTTCTGGAGCAGGGCATTAAGTTTGGACCTTTCCCCTTCCAGTGTTACAAATCCTACGAGGCCAATATAGATTTTGAAATCAGGTATGTGTGTTACAAATTCTTCTTTCCATATACCACATGGCTTTCTCAGAAAAAAAGCTGACAAGTATCTTGGTGAACCTCTCTGTGTTGGCAGGTTCATGGTGGACAGTAATGTGGTGGGATGTTGCTGGATCGAACTTCCCAAAGACAAGTACAGAGTGCGTGAGGAGAAGAGCATGGGGGAAACAAATTCTCATTGTCCAGGCAAGGTAGGTCTTGTTTTAGTTTTAACCACGAGACACAATCTGGCTCGTCTTCATGCTGCTCAGTAAATGGCCGACTTCCTCATGGGTTTGCTGTTATCTTCCTATTTTTGTCCTTCAGGCGTCCTTGTGTCAGTATGAGGTGGACGTGGGATGGACAGATTTGATAAGTCACCCAGCGGAGGGAGACTGGCAGAGGATTGCACCACTCAGAGTCCTGAGCTTTGACATTGAGTGTGCAGGAAGAAAAGGTGAGGTTCTTTCTATATCTCTTGGGATTTTCTTTCTCTCAAGCCAGCATCATTTGAAAAAATTATCATAGTTTGATGAGAAGCAAATGCAGATCTTGATTTGGACGTTAACTCTTTTTTCTCCAGGAATCTTCCCAGAGCCTGATAAAGACCCTGTGATTCAGATAGCGTCTATGGTCCAGCGTCAGGGTGAGACAGAGCCCTTCATTCGCACTGTGTTCACCCTCCAGTCCTGTGCCAGCATTGTAGGCTCTCAGATATTGTGCTTCACACAGGAGAAACAGCTGCTGCAGGTAAATATACCAGCTTTAATAATGACCTGACAAACAAACATACTGTATTTTGATGAGTTCTTTGTTTCCTTTTGTAATGTTCTGTTGTTTTGTGTCTGTGTTTGAACAGAGCTGGGCGGAGTTTTTGAGGACAGTGGATCCAGACATCATCACTGGATACAACATTCAAAACTTTGACTTTCCCTACCTGCTCAACAGAGCAGCTAAGCTAAAGGTAAGATGGAGCCACGTAAATGTTCAACCAAAGACTAAAATGTTCCTGAGCGTCAGTAAGTGCTCAGTAAAATACATCCTTCTGTGTTTAGGTGAATCTGTTTCCCTACTTGGGCCGAGTGCGAGGAATCAAGTCAGTCTTGCGAGACCTGAACTTCCAGAGCAAGCAGATGGGACGCAGAGAGAACAAGACCATTAACATGGAGGGCCGCGTTCAGTTTGATTTGCTGCAGGTCAGCACTTACAATTCAACAATAGACAAGCATTGCTTTGATTAGAATGATTTGAGGAAAAGATATGCTGAATGTGAACTGACTGGTGTGTCCGTCTCATCAGGTGCTCCTGCGGGATTATAAACTGCGCTCATACACACTAAACGCTGTGAGTTTCCACTTCCTACAAGAACAGAAGGAGGATGTACAGCACTCCATCATCACTGATCTGCAGGTAATCTTTCTGCACCGTTTTTTAAAAGCTCTTTGACTTGTCATTGAGTTGTTACTGTTGTCGCTCATCTATCTTGCTCCCTGTGTCCTTCCTCTTAGAATGGCAACGAACAGACTCGCAGACGTTTGGCAGTCTACTGCCTGAAGGACGCTTATCTCCCACTGCGCTTGCTGCAGAAGCTGATGTGTGTGATTAACTACATGGAGATGGCCAGAGTGACAGGTGTGCCTCTCACATACCTGCTGTCAAGAGGACAGCAGATCAAGGTCGTCTCTCAGCTGCTGCGACAGGTAACAAAGGCAGACGCACGGCACAGATATTGAATACATGTGGACTTACAGATGAAAACTGGAAGTCTCTGTACATGTTTAGGCCATGAAACAGGACCTGGTCATGCCTGTTGTAAAGACGGAAGTAGGAGAAGACTACACTGGAGCAACTGTCATCGAGCCAGAGAAAGGGTAAGTATGTCTGATGTTTGTTTTCTGAGACTATCGCTTCTCTGTTTTGCAAATGTGTCTGACTAGAGAACCTCCTCCTGTATTCGTCATATTTCTTCCCATGACCACCCTCTTCTTTGTGTAGGTATTACAGCGTTCCCATTACCACCCTGGATTTCTCCTCCCTGTATCCATCCATCATGATGGCTCACAATCTGTGCTACACCACCCTGCTGCAGAAGGGCTCAGCAGAGAAACTAGGGTGAGCATTTGTTTTAAACTTTTGCCCATTTAAAAACTGAAATGCATCTCATTTATCCGTCTAACAGTGGAAACTAATTGAGGTGGTTGTGTGCCTTTAGCCTGTCAGCTGAGGACTTCATCAAGACTCCGACTGGTGACCTGTTTGTGAGGAGCTCAGTGAGGAAAGGACTTCTACCTGAAATCTTGGAGAACCTGCTGTCTGCCAGAAAGAGGTTCGAATTAGTTCAAATAAATCACAACATATTGATTTGAACCCGAGTGAGTTTTTAGCATTTTAGCACCCAGCTACTGTACCTTGGTGCCTTGATTTGCTACTAAAGCTCAACTTGAATGTGTTTCCTCTTGTAGCGATCACATTCAGATTCCCTAAACATACAAATTCAATCATGAAACAGCCTGATGTGCCTCCTTTCTCATCTTGTCGCTACGTCTTGCCACAGGGCCAAAACAGAGCTGAAGAAGGAAACTGACCCTTTCAAGAAGCAGGTGCTGGACGGCCGTCAGCTGGCTCTCAAAATCAGTGCAAACTCTGTGTACGGCTTCACTGGGGCCCAGGTGGGCAAGCTGCCCTGTCTGGAGATCTCCCAGGTGAGCACTTGACACTTCATGACAACTGTAGATAATTATCTTGCTCAGAGCTCACACAACTGACTGCGTCGTATGTTAACATGTTTACATACTGTGATATATGTATATATACTACTGTAGAAAAACAATTAACTGCTACAGACCGTGTGCTGTTGACCTAGTTAGATACACATCACCCTCAAAGAAAGATGAGACAGCTCCATATATTTAAGCAAATATTTTTCTTTGTTATTGAAACTCAAAAAGGTTAATCCAGCAACAGATAATTTACCTATAAACTGAATGACAAACTGTTCTTGTCTCATCCAGAGCGTCACAGGTTTTGGGAGGCAGATGATCGAGCAAACCAAACAGCTGGTGGAGTCCAAGTACACCATTTCCAGTGGTTACCAAGGTGATGCCAAGGTGAGGAATTCATGCTGTCAACTTATCAGATTAGTTTCTATTTACTTTCTGTAATTTAAACACTGATTTGGGTTTTTAATTTGTTGTTAAGGTCATCTATGGGGACACAGACTCCGTCATGGTCAAACTCGGGGTTGCAACAGTAAAGGAGGCCATGGAGGTCGGGAGGGAGGCAGCGGAGTGGGTGTCATCTCATTTCACACCACCAATCAAACTGGAGTTTGAGAAGGTACAGTTTCAGTCCAATCTATTTATATTCACACTTTGCTTTGCATATTTGGCTTTGTATTCACAGAGAACAAAGCTCCTGAAGTCTCACAACATATATGTCCAATTCAAAAAGTTCAGTTGTCAATTCAGGTTTAACTTAAATCTTTTTACTTGCTCTTGGATGTGGACACATTTCGATATTTCTTTAAGAGTTCACATTTGACCCTTTTATTGTGGAAACAAACACGGCCCTCCTTCAATACAATTCTAAAGCCTGTGGAAATACATGTTTTTTTTAAGACGTGACAAATGTGTCTGTAGGTCTTGAAAAGGCTTGGAGCCCTTCTCAGCTCTTAAGTTATTCAAATCTTAAAATCCTTCAACAAAGCTTTCAATATATGATTATAGCATAAACTGTCAGGGAAACCTTAAGTTATATGATTCCATATCCTTGACTTTATGTAAAACCTTCTTACTGCCTATCCTGTGTGTTTAATCTGAACTTGGAGGATGAAGTAAACATGCAGCAGCTCTTATTGTCAAAGTGTGTCTGTGGGAATATGCAGCTGTTTTGTGACCACAGGAGAAGTGGAGCATCCTCTGGAGCTCATGAGTATCTTTACATCACTTCCACAGGTGTACTACCCGTACCTGCTGATCAACAAGAAGCGATATGCCGGCCTGTATTTCTCCTCCAGTGCAGACACACATGACAAGATGGACTGTAAAGGCATTGAGACTGTCCGCAGAGACAACTGCCCTCTGGTGGCGAACCTTATCGGCACCTGTCTGCAGAGAATCCTCATCGACAGGTACAAAAAATTGCAACTTACAATTATTTCACTAGCGATGTGGCTTCTAAAGAGGTGAAACTGTCACCTTGGTTAAACACGGTGTATAACTAATTGCAGCTGATGTGATGTTAGGGATCCGCAGGGTGCAGTAACTCATGCCAAAGAGGTGATCTCAGACCTGCTGTGCAACCGCATTGACATCAGCCAGCTTGTCATCACGAAGGAGCTGACTCGCACCGCCCAGGAGTACGCTGGCAAGCAGGCACACGTGGAGCTGGCAGAGAGGTCTGATTATACTGAGACGTCTTATCGGACATAAATGTGGGATTATGGCTGAACTGACTCATTAACATCGATGCTTCAACAGGATGAGGAAGAGAGATGCCGGCAGCGCTCCCAACCTGGGAGACCGAGTTCCATACGTCATCATCAAGGCTGCAAAGGGAGCGGCAGCTTACATGAAGTCAGAGGTTTGTACTGTCAGCTGAGATTTCTTTTATGTGTAAACACACATAAAATCATTAAACACAACATTAAATCCTGATGATAATAATGATCCTTCCACATGTTCCTTCAGGACCCCATCTACGTGCTGGAGAACACTATTCCCATCGACACACAATACTACCTGGAACAGCAGCTGTCCAAGCCCCTGCTGAGAATATTTGAGCCCATCCTGGGAGAGAGCAAGGCAGAGAGCGTCCTGCTCAGTGAGTCAGCACGCACGCACGCACGCACGCACACGCACACACACAAAAAATTGGGTCCAAACATTTTTCAAAGATTTCCTTTTGCACATAAAGAACGCAGCAGGAGAATGTTCGGCTCAGACATGTTCACAGAATTTCTCCAAAACAAAAACAATACATCTCCAGGGATCCTATAACTCACAGCTGCACAGTTCACAAAAGTAATCTGTGTTATCCTCAAGTTTTTTGGATCTTAACATCACTTCTGCTTAATGTCGTGTCTGTCAGAGGGCGACCACACACGCTGCAAGACCGTGTTGACCTCGAAGGTCGGGGGACTCATGGCGTTTGCTCAGAAGAGGAGCACCTGTATCGGCTGCAAAGCTGTGCTCAAGATGGACGGTATGTTTGCTCAGTCATTTTCTTTACTTTGGTGTCTCCTTTGAGATTGATGTTTTGCTATTGGTTGATTTTATTTTTTATTCTTTATTATTTATTGATCTATCTTGAGTGGGAGTTTTTTAAAACATGTGCAACATTTAACATGTTTGTGTCATTGCAGCGGCTGTGTGTGATTTCTGTAAGAAGAAGGAGTCTGAACTCTACCAAAAGGAGGTAGGCAAGATGCTGAATTACTTCATATTTAAATATTTTAGTTTTTTTTCCCCATTAACAAGTTGATTTGGTTTAAGTCCCAGGTCTGAAAATGTCAGAAGAAAAGGTTCTCTTGTGTTTGTCATCATATTGCTGTCAGGTGGCTTTTAAGAGCTTAAATCAATTAGAGAAAATTTGATATCAAATGTATTTTTGGTAGATTGAGTTAAAAACTGCAGTTTTCAATATCAAACCAAATTGAGTCCCTGTATTCAATTATTTCTCTTTTGCTGCTGTGGACCAGTGTGCTGTGATTTCGTTTTTCTGTATCGACTGCTCTAGTAAAACACAAAACTATAAATTTTAAGGGACAATATCTGCAAACAAATGTCTTTTAGTTTTGCTCACATTTAACTTGTAAATTACAGATCTTTCACTTAAACACACTGGAGGAACGTTTCTCTCGCCTGTGGACTCAGTGTCAGCGTTGTCAAGGTTCCCTGCACGAGGATGTGCTTTGTACCAGGTACAAATACAGTATGAACAAAAGCTTAGTTTAGTATAACTGTGTTTATTGCTTTATATTTAGTAATGCTGTCCCCCTCTCTCCTCTGCAGCCGGGATTGTCCCATCTTCTACATGAGGAAGAAGGTTCAGAAAGATTTGGATGACCAGAGCAAGCTGGTGTCTCGTTTTGGATGGTGAGAGGAGGCACACACCCTCATTCCTCCTGTGCCTCATTTTTGGACTCTTTTGATTTTTTTTTTCTCCAACTCTTTCTGTGCTTCTGTAAAAATGCATATAGTTCACACTGTTTCTATATTTTCTAATATGAATAAAAATACTTTGAGTAGTATGTTTTTTGTAAAATAAATAATCAAAAGCAAAATCTATTTTATGGAATGTCATTTGCCTTCCTCTTCAGCGTCAACCTCAAACCACATCCCTTCCTCTTCACTGATTTAGTATATGAGCACAATCAAAATCCTCTCCTCCATCCTAGAAGATGTAAAGAGATCTACATTATCAAACGTCTCAGATCAGATCTGGGGCCTGTACTACAAAGCAGGAATTGTGTTATTGTACTAAATCATCATGGTAACTAATGGTGAATGGCCAAACTGCTCCAGTGTAGGTTAAGTTTGAGATCTAAATCTGGATAAGGAAACCCGGGGTTAACAGACAGTTGATAACCAGCTTTGTAGTACAGGTTTTCGGAACGGCCAATGTTAAGATACCCTGGATAAGTTTAAAATGCATCGTAGTATAGCCCCCGAGTATAATTGCTGCTCAGTTTGTCTCTTTTGAGTCTTGAAAACCCCTTAATCAAGAGGATCCACAGATAAACAGGACAAGATGTAAAAGCTACAGACGTTTACTTGTTCATTACAGCAGAGTGATTTTACATAACTGTCAGATTTGTTCAGACCCAATCAAGTTACATATTTTTTACAGTGGAATTACATCATGTCAAAGTGGTGAGTCTGGCACTAGGGGCCTGATGGAAAAATTCTATACTTGATAATTCTAAACACTTTGTTAAAGTTGTTCCATTTGAAACTTCATGTAATTATGCAGATGGGTTTTTAACTTGGAAAATTAACTTCAAAAATCCATTACATTTTAAGAGCGAGTAATAATCAAAGAAGAAAAACACTGCAATAAAAAATGTTTCGCTTCTGAAGGTGTTGATCCAGCATCGAGTGGGATCAGATACCATGACTGTCACTGTGAGGCTGCTGAGTTAAATCACTGGTTTGAGTAGTTTCATGTCACCACATGGACGCATAGCACACGCACACACACACTACATGCTCTGATGGAGTGTGGTGAAGCAGAGGCTGAGCTTGGACACGGTGACTTACAACCACGACCACCAACACTGGGACTGACACAAAAGCTGCATTAAAAACTGGACTTTGGAATGCAGTGCGACTTTGGAATATGCAAAAAGCAGGACCAACACTTCAAATGATAAATGATTAATGGCAAGAAGTTATGGAAGCAGGGGTCAGACTTGACTCAGCTCTCCTTCATTTTGTGTTGAAACATATTCCTGAGAGAACATTTGAACTGGCACTACCACTAATCCTTAAGTCTATATTGATCAACTAAAGGGGGAATGGATAAAGTGTACCATGGAGACTGGAACACAACTTTGAAGCTTTTGTTACTCATGCTATAGAACTTTCTTTAACATGTGGTCTTTGTGAAAGAAATAACCCAACTATATATTGCTGTTGTGTTTCAAGCCCTAGATGACAAACTTTAGAAAAACACAAGGGGAAGATGAAGCAAAACATTTTCACAAGAGCGAAAAAGCATCCAAGTCATTAGGATACGCTTTTCTCATGACGAACATGCAGCAGCTCATCTACAACTTGTGTTGAGTCCTGGTGAGATGAATTCAAAACATTACCTGTTGTGATTGTGCAAAGTGCAGTGACGAACCACCGTGAACCCTTGACCGCCTAAAGTCAACAGGAGCTGAAAACACTGGCCGGATTATACGTAATTAGAAAATGATTCTTGGAAATAAATCTTTCTACCACAGACCCAAATTAGGTTTTCACAAAGGTAACCAAAAAGAAAAATTAACTTTCAGCTAAAAAACTACAGATTCTAGTAGTTTGGTCATCAAAACAAAAACAAACAAACAGCTGGATTCACAGCAAAAACTGCTCATTGGATGAAAACTCATAGCAACGTGCTGTTAGTAGAAACTGTGATGGCAGTACGAATGGATTTTGCCTGCTACCCTGTCTGGACTGGAGCTGAGCTGGAAGTCTCCAAATTGACAGAGGAGTAAAACAAGTGCCATGAAGGATGCTGTGTGTGTGTGTGTGTGTGTGTGTGTGGTCTGCTATAGTATCAAACAACGTCTCTGAGTGTTCTTCTTGCTCTTCTTGTTGCTGCGGTTGGTCTCCTTATATTTTCTAATCTCCCGTACCAGTGAATAGAAAGCTTCCTCCACACCCTACAAAACACACAAGTTATGTTATATTGTTAATTACGTTAATAAGTTTAATTTTATGTACCTTTGTGTTACTTGTTCAAACCTCGATGCAAACTAAAACAAAGGTGTCTCTGTCTTTCCTACATACCTGTCTGGTTTTGGCAGAGGTCTCAACAAACGGCACGCCGTAGCTTCGTGCCAGCTCCTGCGCCTGTCGCATTTCCACATTGCGGGTGCCCAGGTCGCTCTTATTCCCCACCAGCACCATGGGAACGCTGTCACTGTCCTTCACCCTATTGATCTGCTCTCTGAGGAGGAGGAGACATGTAACATTCAAGAGGCTGAAGGCATCTTTCTTTCTGAGCGGCGGGTTACAGTTGCAGATCTGGGCCTGATGCATCACTGTCCCTCATAACCAGAGGAGGCATCAGCTGACGACATTTAAACTATGTGAATATGAACCAGACTGTCTGTAGATATTCGTTACTGACAATTACATGTGCCGTTCCTACTAATCAGTAAGTTGCTCGTCATGCTACATTGTCAGAAACTGCACGGTACAGTATGATGCAATAGTTGAAACAGACAATGAGTTCCACTACTGACACAGCGATCGGTTGCTGGTGAGAGCCTGCCACCGTGAGGCCTCTTGTACCTGTAGAGGTGAACGTCCTCAAAGGACTTGGTGTTGTTGATGGCAAACACGCAGAGGAAGCCCTCTCCTGTCCTCATGTACTGATCCCTCATGGCGCTGTACTCTTCCTGACCTGCAGTGTCCAGGATGTCCAGCAGACAGGTCTCTCCGTCAATCACCACCTGTTTTCTGTACGAGTCCTGCAACATAGCATGAGCACGATTAAGGCGAGCGGGGCTAAACATGTCAGCAGAAAAACCCAGGGTGGATTGCATCATGTTGAGTTCTTTAGTTTTTGACAGTTGCTCGGCCTCGTGGTGTAGCAACAAGACATTGCTGAATCAAATGTTTTGCAATGAAGTTTTTTTAAAACACCAAGTATGAAATTTGTACATATATTTACTGTGTTATGCGTATATATATATATATATATATATATATATATATATAACATTTAAGTGAGGATCTGGGTATCAGGTATGTTCTCTACTTAGTGCATTTCTATAATAATGCAACACAAAATATGAATAATTATTTTTAATACTTAATTTCTCTCTCGCTCTGATCTTGTCGAATATTTTATTTTGCTTTTAGTCTTTTCTCATCCGTAGCATTTTTTAAAATGTTTAACTTGTAAAGCACCTTGTGACTGAGTTTTTAAAAAAATAAATCACTGTCACATAGGATTGTTATTCTTGGTTTGACGTTTCAGTGGGTGTTTAAAACTCAGTGACAGGTTCAGGATAAAGAATAACTCTGACAGAGTTGCTCACTCTGAACTCAGGACACTGTGTTGTGGTTGAACACAGTCTGTGGTTGGTGGTGTCTCACCTCGATGGTTGGGTCGTATTCATCTACGAAGTGGTTCTGGATGAGCTGGATGGTGAGAGCGCTCTTCCCCACGCCTCCTGCCCCCACCACCACCAGCTTGTACTCGGTCATGCCTTTGGAAGAAGAGTTGAAAACACCGGTTAACGAGCGACCACATCCACACCAGTTGCTCCTCTCCCCTTCCTTCCTGCTCGGACACGGCGAGGACACTGGCCCAGATTTCGGATGACTAGCTGTTGCCTCATGCTGAGCACTTCCTCTCGATACGAACTGTTTACGTGTTCTTACCTCACGTGGGCTCGGTGCACGGTCTGAGATGAGAGTTAGCACGCTTCACGTCTGGGTAAATCAGATTAGCTTGCTACATAACGTTAGCCTGCGACGGTTTCCTTGTTCGAACACTTGTGGAAACACTTCGCCAACTGTCCGCAACTTGTTTCCCGGGTCAGGACCACGTCTGTGGCTGCGGATGTGGATCGTCCCCGACGCTACTTGTCAGATTGTAACTTTGTGCGACAAGTTAATGAAACACTTAAATCCGTCCTGGCCCCTGTTCGGTCTCCATTGTGATTCATTGTGAAGCGGAGCAACCTCACGTTAATCCCCTCTTCACACAGCCAATCAAACGTCCGGAAGCAGACAGACGTCGTGAAGGCCCAATCATAATTGAGTTCAGATTTTTTTTACCCCGCCCATATCTAGCAGCTGCGTCCAATCACAAATGAGAGTTGCTACCGACGGGCGTGGCCTCTCACACAGCCTCGCTTCCTCCAAACTTCATATCACAGAAGTAATTATAACAATT